CACACAAGGGAGACCCCACTCAGCTCCTTGAACACAACTGACGCTGCCCCTTGAATTCTGCCCTTAGCAAAAGTCCATGAAAGCGTTGGCTTTCTTTTGTCTCAGGTCAGAGGATCCTCCATCTCCCTCAGATTCTCTCCATGTTTTCAAAGTCAATTAAGGTCTCTTTTATCTTTCCTGTCTCTTTGTACTGCTAAAAAAAATCTAACGCTTAAAATTCATAGCCCTTTTATCATTATCTGCAGCCTTAAAGAGTTAAGAATGCAGCCGTGTTTTGGTAATTTGCTGGAAACTGGATGATGAGATTTATGCTGATTAAACCCACCGCTAAGGTTCTTTTGAGTAGGGTTAGATTTATGGCTCCCAACCATCAGGACAGTAAGTGCCTTGCAAAAATCACCTCTAAAATAAGTGATGAAATGCCCATTAGCACAGTCAGGTAGATTTTATCTTGGGCTACACAGCAGGTGAATTTATTAAGTCACTACTATGTTAATTTTCATGACATGTTTTCTTTACTCGTTACTCTGAGAAAAGTGGTCGGGCTTTTGTATTTTCCTGTTGCAGGAAATGGCAGAATTGCTCAAAGACAGCATCCCCTCTGGGACTTGGAAAAGAGTCTTCACATTCCCCTTTCTTGAGGAGATTAGGTTTGTTCAGCACAAAAAGCGGTGGCAAGGTAGGAGTGGGCGGGTAGTTCCAGTGGAAAAATGTCCCCACTTGCTAGCAGCTGTCTCAGAGGAGCACGACCTCAGAGCAGCATCCAGCAGGATACCTCTCAGGATGCAGCCCTAGGTGTGGGGTTTCCCTACCTCTGAAAAGACCCCACGGTCCAGGAAACAACATGCCCAGCAGAAAAAGCATAGACTTGGTCACTAAGTCACTTAGAGGATCTTCCTGAATTGTCTAGCCAGCACAAACCATCCAGGGGCTGGAGCAGAGAGGGAGGAAGCCCTCATAAGTAAAGAGCTTAAATTCTATACCACCTATCCCTGAAAAATGGCAGTTTAGAGTCGAACTTCATTTGATTTAGAAAGTAAGTGTGATAGCATAGAATTTAATCAAATGTAACTAGTCATGTGAAAGTAAAATATCGAGTTGGAAATGGTCTCCTTTAAGCCTGGGGAGTATCTGTGAAAAGCCCTTCCATTGCTTTTCCCATTGTGGCTTTTATCCCTTTGTAAAACCCGCATGCCAGATTATAATCCACATACTTGTAAGTATCACCATCTGGGTCGAAAAAGTATCAAATGGGGCTAAGCAGTGTCCAGGAGGGTCTTCGGGGTTCACAGTTAGACAAAGTAAGTAGAGGGAAAAGGAAAATGAGAAGAAAAGATGAAAAAGAAGGAAAAGGAAGGAGGCAAGAAGGGGCTAACTACCTAGAGCAACGATCACCCTGTGATTACGGAAATAGATGCACTGTTATGCACTCGCGCCAAGCCAAAGGCTGACGCAATCGGACTCTGCCTCTCAAGACTTTAGGATGGCAAGAGAAAGAGATACACAGATGTGCAGAGAAAAACAGAGGTGTTGATTCCTTCAGCTTCTCCATCTGGGGACCAGTCAAAGAGTCCAGCTGTCCTTCCTGCCCTGGGTTCTGTGAACCACCTCATGTCCTGTCCAAATCCCCTTTTCTACTTACGCAAATCTGGCTTGGATTTCTGCTAATTGCAACCAAAATAATCTACACGGAGATGCTCCCCAAAGCCGCATGATGAAGTCCAGACTCCCAAGCCCAGTAGGAAAGCCCTTCCCAAGCGGGGGCCTGCTTACTCTCCATCTTTCCTGTCAGCACCCTCGACTCCATTTCAGCCAAAGTGAAGTACTCTTCTGGTCTCTCTACTCTCTAGTCCGGGTACAGATCTGTCTTCTGTGTGGTGCCACTTGGCAGTTGTCCTGCTTACTTCGTCAGTGGAGGTGTATCATTTCCTCCCAGAAACCTCCTTTAGAGGCTTCTTCTCTTTACTGTCACAGAATTGCCTCTTTATTCTGCTTACATATGACATAATGGTCACCTGTTGGCTTTTAGTCCCCCCTGGACGGTGAGCTCTGGGACAGAAGGAGGAGTCCTGGTCACCTGTTGTTATATGTGGGTATCTAAAATACCCTGGTGCTTGGCTGCACCCAGTAAATACTTGCTGGATGAATGAATGCCATGCCTTCCTTGCCACCGGTTATCTACACCAGCTGCAGACACTGCTGAAGAGGAAAAATGAAAATGAGTTTGGCCTCAAGCTATGGACTATGATTCTTCCCAGGGCAAGAATCAGTTACTCCCACGATTTGGGAATATCCTGTTACCTTCATTGCATCTCCTTTCTTCTTTATTTAATGATTTGCCAGTTTCTAATTAAAGAAGAGACTTCAGGCATTTATTGATTTAAATAGGTTGCATCGCAAGGAAGGTTTTGAGACTAAAACTAGAATTTAGCATATCAGAAATTCAATCCATCTGAGCTCTCTCAGAAATGTTTGCCCTTGGGTTGTTTTGCACAGACTTTCACAGTCACTGAAAACTGTTGTCATGGTAATCATGGAACCTTTCATGATTTTTGCTCAGGAGTTAATGAAGATACTAGAAATAAGCCAAAGGAATTCACACTTGGGTATGCATTTGTGTCCGTATTAACCCAATCATTGTTTGGATCACACATCTGCCCCAGGGTGGGTCCTCTTGGCTAGTGGTGCTGGTAGGAATAAACAACTGATTCCTTTTCAGTATTTCATTTTAGGAGGCTATGGATGACTGCCCTTTTGGTCTCATTTCAGCAGGAAATCCTACATGCAATGTTTAAAGGAGTAGAAAAAAAGAGCAGTTGTATGAAACAAATCTCTTTTATTACCAGTTATCAATGTTGCCGATTTCAAGGCACTTCACACCTATAAAGTTTCAGTTTTGGAACATGGAACGCAGAACATTGACTATATCTAAAGCTTTCGTTTTAGGGTCCTTTATAAAATTAAAAAAAAATTTTATTTATTTAGTACGGGGTCTCTTGGACTCATAGTGATCCTCCCATCTGAGGCTCCCCAGCCCTGGGATTACAGCTGTGTGCCACGACACCAGGTTTCAGGGGCCAGCTCAGCGTGTGCACCCCGTGTTCTGAGGCTGACATGGCATGCAGTACCGGGGATCATACCTGGGTCCTTGCGCTTGCCAGGCAGGCACTTAGACCGCCGAGCTATCTCCCGGGGCCTATGGTCCTTTATAAGCTGACACATTTTGTTGGAAACTTCCATTAAGCCTACAAATACAGATCTAAATATCCCAGAGCACTCACCACATGTGAGATTCTGAGATTTCCCTTTTGTGTTCTGTCCTGCTGGTGACATCCCAGTGTCTGCTGGTCTCTCCTTTCTTAGTAACAGAACGCCTCATTTTTAGTGAAGGGTGTGGGTGTTTGAAATCAAGATGTTTCCCACTCCTCCTTACTGCTGCCCAGTGGTATGTAAGTAGAAGGGTTCATTTACTTTTCTTAATTTTCTGTAGGAGGGGGATTTGCGTGTGGGTTCTTCATCCCTTTGTTACTGACTGGAATGATGGATAGTGGGCTGAGAGCCATGCGGATAATGACAGAATTGCAAGACAGAAGTCTGAGTCCCTGAGGATTGTGGAGTGTCCATGAGATCATACACAGACTATGTTGACAGAAAAGAGAAAAGAGACTGTTAGGGGACAATTATTTTGTATTTCTATCATCTACACCTAATCAGTGTGTCACTCCTTCCATCCACTGACAGTAAAGGCTCATGTAAAATTTATTTTCTGATACCAGGGCTTGCTGGAAGATGGGTGAAATTGCCAGACCTTTGCATTAGCCAGATTGGGATTGAAAAAACACAAATTTTTCTAGTCCAGAAGAGCCACAACCTTTTTACTCTAAGTCAGAACTTTTACCTCAAATGCTTTTTGAAATGAGGTAGATGATGAATAAGACCGATCACCGTTTAGTCTAGGTGTAACACAAGCAAGACAGAGGAAAAAACCCAAACCAAACCAAAGCAAAATCTCCCCAATAGTCTCTAAAATGAATGGGCACCCAGAGTAAGTGTGCACCACAGTGTGTAGGGGTGTGTGTGTGTGTGTGTGTGAGAGAGAGAGAGAGAGAGAGAGAGAGAGAGAGAGAGATAGATATGGCTGAATGGACAGGTAATAAGCGTTAGGAGTGGTTGTCAGGAAAGTAAATACTCTAGGAGAACAGTATTAGGGAGCTAGGGGAAGACGAGGTGTGGGAGAGCTTCTGGCTACCCTGCGCCAGTAGGACCTGCCGGTCCCAGCCCAGGTGCAGCGTGGGTGAGACCCTCTTCCATCCCCTTGGGACGCCCCCCACCACTCCACAGCACCCTCCCCCTGCCTGCCTAGTAGGAATTTCTGCCACGTTCTGGGGACCCCCCAGATCCAGTCCTAGCCCAGGCTCGGTGACTGTGTGGGAGAGCTGCCTCTCCCCATTATTTCACCTTGTCCCCTCCAGACTCAGCTCAGGCCTGGCATACAGGCCTGAGGTGAAATCCTGCAGCCGCAATCCCTGCAGAGAGAGAGTAGGGGACATAACCACCAGCTAGTCCAGGAGCAGAACATCTTGCCAGAGGGGCACAACAGGTTCACGCCCAAGGGCAGCAGCAGAAAGGAGCTGAGCACAGCAGCCAGACCCAAGCCAGGCACAGCTGGATAAATCCAAACTTTGTAGATCTGCACCTGAACTTCAGTAGGTGCTAAGGTTATACTGCACCAAAGCTCTACAACAAAGATCAGAAGACAGTGCTACACAAAATGACAACGAGAAGGAGCAAAATGCAATCTCAGATGCCAAGCTCACCCATAACAAATGCAGAGGACAATAACACAGAACAAATTGGGAATCACACAGCTGAAATCAATGAATCAACAGCTTCTGAAATAAGGGGAAGACGAATCACAGGTGTTCCGGCTTAGACCTAGAATGACTTTCCCAGTGGGAGACACAAGCCTGATACCAATGAGGAATTGTGATTTTACTTACTGAACTTGGGCCTTTTACTCTTCTTTGCCATTTCTTTATTTGAATATATTCCAGTTACCAGCAGAACTGCACAAAGAAAATAAAAATTGAAAAATGTAATCAGTATTATTTCACTCAAATGTTGCTCTCTCAAATTCTCACCGATGGAACTTATTTTCCTACACATTAGGATTGGGAGGCTGAGATGCACGGCTGCAGAGCGCAGGGTGGAAGGTTCTTTCAACATTACCTCTTGGATACTTTTCCTTTGCGTTGCCTCCTTTACATCTCACCATATGGGTCTTACCATCTCTGTTTTATGGGGAGGATGTAGGCCTGGGGAGCTGGACTGATTTTGCTCAGAGCCAGGAACAAAGATGGGCACCCAGAGTAAGTGTGTACCACAGTGTGTACTTGTGTGTGTGTGTGTGAGAGAGAGAGAGAGAGAGAGAGAGAGAGA